GGTCATTGCACTCTGACCAAATTAAAGTTGAGTTGGAAAATATTGTTGGAGACTGTCTTTGATGAAAATTACATGGAATGCTTGTAGAATTTTCCGGTCATGTCTCAATCTGAAAATCACTGCCAGTGGTCGAAGTAAAACTTTTTATTATACACAAATAGACCTTAGAAACTTAGAGATTTGCATGCTAAAAACTTTGAATTAAAAAAAATTACATTTTGGAGTGACTACTTCTTAGTCAAGATTCACACTATAGCAGAAATTATCAAAATAACGAAAACTTCAAACATTAAAACATAGGGAACAAATTAACTGCATGGAATAAAACACAATGCAACAAACTGTTCTCAGTCTTTGGTCCTGTGAGATTGGATTTTAATCCCAGCATACATGAAGGTATATATGTACCTCTGCCTTCATAATAAGTAGATAAGCTGATAAGCATTCATGCACATGAAAACTGTCCACTGACAGAGCAAGATATTACATGACTTTACACGCTGGGTTTAAATTTTTACAAGACTCACATGCCATGTATATTGTGCCACATGCAATTATACTAAATGGGAACTGCCCTTACCACTAGAGTTTATAAAAGCAGTGTTGATACAAGGAATTAACGTTGGGGGAACTAACAGGGAACCCCTTGTGAAGAGCCCATTGTGTACAATTCTTTACGTTTTTTTTCTCTTACACACAATGATTATTGCAGTCTTTTCTTTCTCCACGACCTTATGGCCTTGTTGCTCAAAATAAGCCATGGCACTGACAGTGTGTCTGTAATTACTTAATCCTGTATGCATGTACATGAACATGTGCAAGCATGTACATGAATACATGTATGTGTACATTTGTACACAACATATTAAAGGTGCATGTACGCTTCGCAAGAAACCAGTCCAGTATTACCAACAGCCTGTTAGTTATAATGCATGACACATCTCACACTGAGGGTGTGACGCCATAATTTTTCTACAGGCAATGACCTCGTCATCAAATACACCATTCAAAACACAGGCCTGAGTAAGTGACCACAGTACAGGTAGGGTCATTTTAGATCCTACATGTAGGCCCTACTCATAACTGGGGCACTAAGGTGAAAACACATGTATCCTGGAAGGATCTAAATGTGATCCAATATTGCATGCGGTGTCAATACATGTATTGTACTGGTAAACATGTACATGTACATGCAGCTTGTTATCTTCAATGCCCTAGTTGCTACATGAAGTCGATTATCTGAGGTCATGGGTCAGTGGGTATGAAGGCAGCCCTGTTTACAGGTACCATGTAGTCCCACCTCAGCTGGTATGGTCAATGGGGTTCTATGGTTGCATCACCACATGGGGGGGTTTCAATTCAATGGTGTAAACCAAGTCATTTTTTCCCAAGTCAAGTCAAATTTGTGACCGACTCTGGAAAAATAGGTACTAAGTCGCCAGATTCAGGTTATGAGTTTTTGATATGGCTGGATTCAGTACATCATTTAAAAACTACAATTTGATATGAATGACCCCTGTCGTGCGCTGCGTTCCGGAGATATTTAGACATCCACATTTTCAGATTCAATAAAAACCCTTTTCAAGAAAAAGTGTAGCAATTGGAAACACAATGCTAAATAGGATTTCTTACTGATTGATCAATTTTTCATCTTCACTCATCAGTATCCAAGTGTGTGGTCACAAATTCTAAAATATAAATATTACAGAAGCTATTAAAGGAAAAACCACAAAATCACATTTTTGAAGAAATTTTGCCCTCTCCAAATAGAACAGGCCATTACGTGTTTTGGCATTGCGCAACTTAATACTCTTTTTTTGCAGAGCGGGTCACATTTTCCCCAAATCCCAAGTCAAGTCTCAAGTCAAATTTTCCCCAAGTCAAGTAAAGTTTTCCCAAGTCAATTGTTGATAATCGTATGGTGGGAAGTAGTTCCTTTCCCGCCATTTGAAGAAGCGTCTTCCGTTATGCTTTCAGATTATGTACATGTACAGACTACAAAGAATATCGCTGCGCTGAACAACAAATGAATGTCTAGGAATACATAAGCCTCAAGATCGCAGCGTGCGGCTGCCCGTGCAGGCCCGGCTGCACAATGCATGGACAACCAAGAGGCTTGCTTTCAGGCTCCCCAGCCAACATTAAATGGGTCAGAATTAACCAGGCCTTTTTTTTTACCGAATGTGTGAAGGCACCCAGAAGTTTGTGTCTTTATTTTTAACAAACCTTTTGTCACAAATTCAAATTTAGTCAAGTCAAGTTACAAGTCAGGTTTTTTCCAAGTCATGTCTCAAGTAAAAAAATCAGGACTCGAGTCCAACTTGAGTCGGAGTAAGGGACTCGAGTCAACACCACTGCGGTCATGGATCTGAAATGACCCTACAGAGCCCCCACTGTGTCAACTCAACTCCAGATTAGATTTGTATGGAAACATTCTTGGGCTCAATTTTTTTTAGGCAGTGCAGAGAGCTACATGTAAATGCATACATGTACAGTTAATTAAACCTGCACATTGATACTCATTATTCAACATTTAAATGAAATGTTTTCCGTCAAAACACAGTTCTGCTACATTTGCTTTTGCTTTTAAGCATGACATTCTGCAAGAATACAGGACCACAATGAAACTATGGACCAATACCTATTTAAAAAACATAGAGGTCAAGTGTCAAGATCAGTGTTTGTAACAATGCAGCAATTTCAAATTTTTTTTTTCAAAATAAAAAACCAAATTTCTACTTTTACATGTATACTACAGGGGCATATTGAAATCTGGGGAAAAACCTGAACTACTGCACTACTGGAACTATGTCCGTGTTCATCTTTACCAGACAGGGAAGGACCAATGATTTCCTGCTGGATGGAAAGTGAAGATTTGATTAACAACCCAGCGGAATTACTCACATTAAATTGGAAGTAGCACATGTACATTGTAGCTTATGAAGTCGGCACATGAGCACTTGTAGGGAATGGAACTTGCAACTGAATCTTAACCCTAACCCCCCCCCCCAGGGTTGCTGGCCCTAACCTTCCCCATTCACACAAAGTT